GAGATCGCGCCATTGCACTCCAGCCTGGGTAACAAGAGCGAAACTCCGTCTCAAAAAAAAAAAAAAACAAAAAACTACTTAGCTGTTCCTAGGATTCTCAGTACAGTTTCCATCATTCCCAAATCCCAAACCCTCCCTACCACCTCTAGGGGCCAGGACATTTAGGAACACCAGATGTCCCCTCCCCACCCTCTTCCCCTTCTCCTTAGAAAACAACACAAGGGATAGCTTTCTGTTCCTATCAGGGGCTGTAGACAAAGACTCTCTCCTAGGAACCCAAAGGGTTGAACCTATTTAGCCCTGTATCTGAGTTCTTCCCCCTCCCTAGAGCTAGAGCGGGAGGGGCAGCTGGCATCACCAGCCCCAGGGAGTGGGCCCTGGAGGCTGAGGCCCCCTAGGAAAGCTGGTGTTGGTTAGAGACCCCTTCTTGCTGCAGTGCCTTGAGGCTGGGATGGGAGTGAGAATGTGGTGCCTATTCTATCTCCTCTGCCCCCACTGTGAGGCCCCTCCCACTTCCTGCAGTGCTTCGCGGGTGTGGAAGCAGCATCCAGGGCCTCAGTCCAGAGAGATCTGTAACTGTGTTAACTCTCCCAGAGATTTCCTTCACCTCTCCAGTGGGTTCATCCTGGATCCTGCCCCACCAAACCTAGGAGGCTGAAAATGTCCTTGCCTTTCTCCGCCCAGGGAAACCAGGATGGAAACAGGTTTCTTTTTTCTTTTTTTTTTGAGACGGAGTTTCACTCTTGTTACCCAGGCTGGAGTGCAATGGCGCGGTCTCAGCTCACCACAACCTCCACCTCCTGGGTTCAGGCAACTCTCCTGCCTCAGCCTCCTGAGTAGCTGGGACTACAGGCATGCACCAGCTAATTTTTTGTATTTTTAGTAGAGACTGAATTTTGCCACGTTGGCCAGGTTGGTCACAAACTCCTGACCTCAGGTGATCTGCCCACCTCAGCCTCCCAAAGTGCTAGGATTACAGGTGAGCCACTGTGCCTGGCCAAAAGATTTTTTTCTACCTTCGACAGGGTCTCTGTCACCCAGGCTGGTGTGCAGTGGCACAAATATGGCTCACTGCAGCCTTGATTTCTTGGGCTCAAGCAATCCTCCCACCTCAGCCTCCTGAGTAGCTGGGACTACAGGCAGGGACTACCACGCCTGGCTAATTTTTTGTATTTTTGGTGAAGACAGGGTTTCGCCATGTTGCCCAGGCTGGTCTCGAACTCCTGAGCTCAAGCGATCTGCCTGCCTCGGCCTCCCAAAGTGCTGGGATTACAGGCGTGAGCCACTGTGCCTGGCCAGGACAGAAACATTATTTCTGATCCCCATTCTGTGACCTGTCCCCAGCCCCAGCCCAGACTCATGGTGAGAGGAACAACTCACTCATGCCTGTTTCCATGCAGGAGAAGAAGGAAACTGCCTTGGGCCACAATCTCCTCCTGCCTTAAGGAGACTGCCCTGGGCCAGAGGTCCCTGTCCCTCACCAAAGACTGCTGGGAATGCTGTTGGGACTTCTGCCTCTTATGTTAGGATTTCAGCAAGTACCCTACTTGCCCCTTCTCTGGGATGTCTAATATTTGTGGTGCTCCATGCAGGGTCACCTAGCCCCAAACTCAGAGAGACGCCCACTATCAACCCTCTTGGTAACCAGGGCCTGGGATCTGCCAGTGATCCTGGCCAGTGAGGGGGAGAATGGAGAGGAGTCCACTTCTGTCCACCGACTGCCTGAATCACAGAACACAGGTGCTCTCCAGCTCCCCCTCAGCCATCCTCCCCACACTCCCGTGGATGCATCCATCAGCTGTGCAGGAAGCCTTCAGGTCTGGCCGGGAGAATTGTCCTTTAAGTTGCCTAACTTGCAGACACTCTGCTGGTCTCCAGCACCAGCATCCTGTGAGTGCCTCACCCTCAAGCTAGGGAAGGGTTCCTCAACCTTAGCACTACTGACATTTTGCACCTGAGAATTCCTTATGGTGGGGATGGTCCTGTGCAATGTAGGATGGTAGGCAGCATCTCAGGCTTCTATGCAGTAGCTGCCATGTTTAGAGAACCCCCAGTGTGTCTCTAAACATGGCTAAATGTTCCCTGGGGGACAAAATTGCCCTTGGTTGTGAGCCCCCGATGTGGGCTAATACCATGCACTGTCTATTTTGAGTGAGCTCCCCATAGTCAATCCCAAAGACAGTAGATTTTCAGTTCTAAAGTCTGCTCACCCTTTCTCTACTGGAAAGCCCCATGATCTTCAACAGCTCCCCATGTTCGTTTCCAAGTCATTTGGCATTTAAGTCCTTGTACGTGGGCTGTCCCTGGCCTATCTGTTCATTTTTAGCTGCCATTTCCACCTCCACCATTCTTTTTGTTTGTTTGGCTGTTTTGTTTTGTTGTAGCAGGGTCTCACTCTGTCACCAGGCTGAAGTGCTCACAGCAACCTCTGCCTCCTGGGTTCAAGCGATTCTCCTGCCTCAGCCTTCAGAGTAGCTGGGATTACAGGCACATGCCACCATGACTCGCTAATTTTTGTATTTTGGTAGAGCTCGTGTTTCACCAGGTTGGCCAGGCTGATCTCGAGCTCCTGACTTCAAGCAATTCTCCCATCTTGGCCTCCCAAAGTACTGGGATTACAGGTGTGAGCCACTGCACCCGGCCGCTATTCTTGAGCCCTAGCTGATGTGGGTATCTTGCTTTTTTTTTTTTTTTTGAGACAAAGTTTCACTCTTGTTACCCAGGCTGGAGTGCAATGGTTCGATCTTGGTTCACCGCAACCTCAGCCCCCTGGGTTCAAGTAATTCTCCTGCCTCAGCCTCCCAAGTAGCTGGGACTACAGGCATGCACCACCATGCCCAGCTGATTTTTGTATTTTTAGTAGAGACGGGGTTTCACTTTGTTGACCAGGATGGTCTTGATCTCTTGACCTTGTGATCTACCCGCCTCGGTCTCCCAAAGTGCTGGGATTACAGGCGTGAGCCACCGCGCCCGGCCTTGGTATCTTGCTATTCTTATCCATCCACCCATCCACCCATCCACCCATCCATTCATCCGTCCATCCATCCTTCCATCCATCTCCATCCCTGCAGTAATCTCAAAACAAGGGGTGGGAGGTGGGAGAAGAACCATCCCAGAGGGCTCTCCCCGTCGGTGTTCCTGAATTCTTCTGAGTCTAGTCACTGCCTGGCTCAGGTTTGGCCTGTCCAGCTCTGGAAGAGGCAGGCTGTGAGGCGTCTGACTTCACAAAGGATTGTCATGAGCTCCATCATCCCAGAAGTCCCCACCCTGCAGATAAAATGACTGACACAAAGATGGGGGATCTGCTCCTCATCCTAATCCACTTTCACTCATCAACACTTTCATTACCATTATGCTTATTTACTGAGCACTTCCTAAATGCCAGGTTCTGTGCTCAGCACTTCATTTGCATTGTCTTATTTAATCCTTTTTTTTTTTTTTTTTTTTTTTTGAGACGGATTCTCCCTCTGTCGCCAGGCTGGAGTGCAGTGGCTCAATCTTGGCACACTGCAATCTCTGCTTCCCCAGGTGCAAGTAATTCTCCCACCTCAGCCTCCTGAGCAGCTGGGTCTACAGGCACACACCACCACGCCCAGTCAATTTTTTGTATTTTTAGTAAAGACGGGGTTTCACCATGTTGCCCAGGATGGTCTTGATCCCTTGCCCTCGTGATCCACCTGCGTTGGCCACCCAAAGTGCTGGGATTATAGGTGTGAGCCACCGTGCCTGGCCCCGCCTTATTTAATCTTTACAAAGACCCCAAGATACCTCATGACATTATTATTTTTCTGATTTTTATAGGAGACCAAATTCGATTTTAGAAAAGTTAAGGCACTAGCTCAAGGTTACGGGCTCCAGTTGCTGGCCTTCTAACATCATCCTTTTCTAATGTTTTTAGGTGGGAGGGGACACTATTCTCTTCCCAGGCCTTCCCAAGAGTGTCCAAGCCCCCAGGTACTCACACATCCCAGGACAGGCTGCTCCCAGGTTGCCTGAGCCCCTGACCCTTTTGTTTCCCACTCTCTCCCTCCAAATGGCTGCTTTCTGGAGCTGCGAAAATGAAGGAGGCACTGGCGTGAAGGGGGGCAAGGGGGACAGCATCTCACTGGGCCTAATCACTGGACAATGAAGAACTAAAGAACTGACCTTCTAGAAGTCAGGACAAAGGGGAGGGCCAGGGTGGGCAGGGCCCAGCTGCCCCTCTCTCCCCTCAAGGTCCCTGCAGCAACACCATCATCCATCCATCTTCCCAGCAAGCTCCCCACTCTGCCCTGGGCTGGGCCTGACTTGGCTTGAAGACTCATCTCAGCTGGCACCAACAAGGGGGCTGGGAGTCCACTCTGGAGGGCTGGGAAGCAAGCAGGGCTACTTTGGGGAGTGGATTCTGGAGGGGCTCACCACCCCCTCATCGACAGACCGCGGGGAGAAAAATCCTTCTGGGGAGATTGGCGGGGTCGTCTGCCGGGGGTGGGGGAGGTTCGGGGCCAGGACCACCCAGTTTGGAGCCGGGAGGGACCCAGCAGATTAGAGACCTGGGTAAGGCAGCTGCGCAGGGCTGTAATTACCCCAGAGGAGCAGGGAAGACACCAGCCCAGGATGCCCGAGGAAGGGCGGCAGCAAGGCTCTCAGACCTCTCCCCAGCCCGGCCATCAGCAGGGAAGAGAAAGCGAAGCCCTTTCAGGGGTCTCCTTGTGATTCTCCTTCATGCCTCCCGACGTCCCCCGGGCTGTTTCGATTTAGGTGGTTTTGAGCGAGAATCTGGACTCGAAGCTGCCCTCTCAGCCCCAGCGCCAGAACCCCCAAGCTCCAGGGTGGGATCAGGGAGTCCCAGCCCCGCTCCCCCTCTCCCCCAGTCCCCGCGGCGGGTGAGTCACCCGAGCGCTCCCTACATAGTCCTCTGGCGCTGTGGCGCGTACCAACGCGCGAACGTAGGGGGAAGGAGCTGGCGCTGCTAAGTCCCAGAGTCGTGGCGCCTGCTCGGCCGTGGCCGTGGGAGAGGCGCCGGGAGGCTGAGGATGCGGAGCTGCGGGGCGGGGGTGGCGCGGGCGGTGCGGACACATGGAGCTGGGTCCCGGGGCGCTGCTGGGGCGGATCCTCCCCTCGTCGGATTTGGTACGCGCCAGCGGGAGGCCAGGCCCAGCCCGGGCGGTACAATAGGGTTGGGCCGAGGCCGGGACTGGGCCGGCGCCGGTCAGGGAGCGGGATCGCGGCCGCAGCCAAGGGACCCTGGGCAACTGGCACCTCCGAGCCTGGCGGGCCACCTGCCTCGACCTTCCCCGGAGCGCCCCTGCCTCTGAGTCGCTGCCCGCAGGGCCGGGCCGGGCGTGATGCGCCGCGGGACCCCTGTCCTGGCCGCCGGCCGCCGCCGCCGTCGCCGCTGAGACCCCGAGACCCCCAGTGACGCCGCAGCCATGGAGAGCTGCCCGCGTGCGGAGCTGGGGGCGGGCGCACCCCTAGGTATGCGGGGAGCCACGGGGAGGCGAGATGGGGGGAGATGGATGGGCCGCGGGGCTGCCGAGGATGAGGCGGGCCGGCTGGGTGGGGACCCCTCCGCCGCCGCGCCTTCTGACCACTTGGAAGTTTAAAAATAAAGGCTGCGGCGGCTGCGGCTCCCGGATCCCCGTGCACCCTCTGACAGCTGCCCCCTCCCCCACCCCGGTGCCGGACGCAGCGGGCGTCGGGAGCCGCGGGGACCCCGCGCGGGAGTTGTTGGGGTGACCCTTCTGCCCCAGCTTAGTGCCATCTCGGCTTCCCCGCCCCCACGTCCCTTCCCGATCCACCCCAGGCCCTGAAGATCCTCTTCCACAGAGCTAGGGCTTCCGTCCCTTTCCCCATCCCCCGTGGCACATGTGACCCCAGCCTGAGTGTGTTAGGGGTCCGGATTCTCAGGCCTGGGCCCTGCATACCGGGGCCTCGGACTTAGTATCCCTACCCTCAGGCCCTGGCCCAGACCTCGCCCCCACCCCATCCGTCCAGCTGCCGCGCAAAGGGCCTGTTGCTGCTGCGGGCTGAAGGGGAGGAGAAGGGAGGGAGGGCAGGGGAGAGGGAGGTCTCTAGCCGCGGCTGCCAAGTAACCCGCCGGATAAAGGCGAGGGGGAGGGGGAGGCGGCATTGTTTGGGGCGAGGGCGGGAGCTGGGGAGTGGGCCGTCTCCCCTGCAGCCAGGCCTGCTCTGGAGCCCACCCAGCCCGATTCCGGGACAGAAGTAAATCTGCTTCTCCTGCTTGCCCTCCCCGGCCTCTCGGGGCCCGAGTCTCTCACTGGAGAATGAGGTAAAGGCTGCAAGCCGGCACTCTCCGGACCTGCCACATCATTCCCCAACCTGAGGCTTTGATACCTCCCTCCTTACTCTCTTTTCTCCCTCTCTCTCCCCACACCCCAGACCACCAAAGCTCCCCTCCCCTCTCTCGCCCCACTAACCACCAGTGCCCAGGACTTCTGCAAATCCCATTCGGATCTGGGAGCAGCTGATGAGGGGGTGGGGAAAGGTTTCTGGTTGGGCTTGGTTTTGGAGAGAGGCAATTTCTCTTTCTTCCTGGAAGGGGAGGGAAGAACATGATTACTGAGGACCCAAGTTCTGTTCCTATTGACTCAAGGGGGAGGTGGCCCCACACCCCCATAGAGTCCTGAGCCTAATCTTGTCACCTCCCTGCCCCTTAGGGTGTGGGCCCAGGATGAAACAGTTTGTGCGTGGGTGCGGAGAGCCCAGGATAAGGTGGGGCTGATGGTCTGTGGGTGGGTTCCTCCCCATGCCAACGAGGATGCTTCTAGGGGACTGTTCGGGTGTGGGAGCTGGGAGAACAGGGAGGTGAGGCTACCATCAGACTGGTGGGCTTCAGGAGGCTTTTAGGCTGGGCTAGAAATGAGTGGCTGGGTCTGTCTTGGTTCGGCTGAACCTGAGAGGGGACATCCAGGCCCAGCCTGAGTCCATCCTCAGCTTACTGGCCCTCTGCACCTCAGGGCCTCTGGCACTGGTGTATAGTTGGGGGCCTGAGTGGGGGTGGTGACTGGGGTATAAAGAGCCTGAGCTGGTGGCTAGTTTATAATTAGGGCACTTGGGTAGGATGCCTAGACTGAATATGAGAGCATGGGTGAGATGCTTGGCCATCCTGGGGGCAGGCGGAGGCTGGGTGGTGGGGGGAGGGCTGGGGGGGGAATGCATATAGCCCTCCTGCATTGGGAGGAGTCTTCTATACACAGGGATCTAGATGGAGTCACACAAGAACCTGGATCAGGATGGTGGCTGTTCCCCACACAGAAAAGTCAAAGGTGTCAGGAGTCCTCTATGAGGCTTTCTGGGAGTAAATGGCATGCTCACAGCATGTGCCCTGTGAGAGTCTGAGGCATGGGTCTGAGTCTCTGTGAGGATGTGGCATGATCCCTGCTCCCTTTGAGTTCCTTTGTGCACGTGCACACTGAGCAGTAACAGGGGGTGTCATGGAGTAGAGGACAAGTGTGGAGTCCACTCTCAGGTCAGAAAACCTGGATGGAAATCCCAGTTAGCCATGTGCCAGCTACTGGACTGGAGCAAGTGACTTACCTCCTGGAGTCACAGTTTCTGCCCCTGGAAAATGGGGGCAGTGTTATCAACCTCGTGGGGTTAATGTGAGGGTAAGAGATGATGTAACTCAGGGATTCTGGCACGCAGACACCAGACACCTGCAATAAAGTGTTATTATCATTATTGTGGTTATGCACCTGCAACCAGTGCCAACAGGGAGGTACGAAATACAGGGGAGGGTGGGAGCAGGAATTGGAAGTCAGTATGTAGATTCTGGGATCAAACCGTTTAGGTCTCCACTTCGTAACTTACCTCTGTGTGACCTCAGTAAGTTGCTTAATGTAAGTCTTAAGTTTGCCCATCTGTAAAATGAGAATCATGCTAGAAATTATCTTACAGGGACATTGGCATCATTTAATTAGGATGAACACAGAAAATACTTAGACTAGGCCCTGGCACATAGTTAATGCTAAATAAGTGCCAGCAGTTTGTTTTTGTTGTTATTTTTAGTTCCCTCAGAAGCCTGAGATGTGATTGATTAGAATTGTGGGAGGTAAATATAAGGCAGAGGGCAGGGGAGAGAGGAGTTCTAGGCAGACGTGAGCTAGGGCGTATCCAGGGAACAGAGGGGACCCATACCTTAAGTGGGACAGTGGGAATAGGAGAGAAGACCCAAGAAACGGGTGCAACCGGCTATCCGGCACACCTATGTTGATGCCCCACTGTGTGCCAGCTCGGCCCAGGCTACGTGGATGGCAGAGAAGTGCATCAGGGTCTTGACCCTTGGAGAACTCTTAACCTGGTCAGGGAGGCAGATGTGTTCACTGCAGGGAAACCAGGTATAATGGTGATAGTGGGCAGTAGAGTTTGCTTGTGGAAGGCTTCATGGAGGAGGCAGCATTTGAGGTGGATCTGAAGGGATGAGTAGAACTTGGTGAGGATGGCGCAGTGGGCTGTGGCCATATATACAGCAGCCGGCTGGCTGGCACCTCCCCCTGACAGCTTCCCAGTCCCTTCTTGGGCTGGTAGGCCCAATAATGAGGCCTCTAATGAGCCCCTAATGTGCAGTCACGCATATGCAAATGAGGTGGAAGGGGCACCAGGCCAGCTAGGTTCCCCCTTCCCGACAGGATAATGGGGAAGAGTTGAGGGAAGGGGCTGAAAGCTGGGCCCAGACTAGAATGGCCATACTTGAGGGCCATCAGGACAGGTCTCAGGTCTGACCCAGGCTGGAAATTAGGCCACAGGCAACTGGGACCCATGTCCTTGGTCCCTGCTGGGCCTTGGGGCTAGTGAGGGAGCAAAGCAGCCAGGCCCAGATAATGCAGCTTTGTTGGCTGGTGGTAGCTCTGCCTGGCACCCAGGGGCACAGCCTTCAGTGTTTCCTCCACCACCTCTCAGCTGCAGCTCTGCCCTGAGGGGAGCAGAGAGCCTGGGAGGGAGTAGGGAACACGGTATTGCTGCCCTTATTAGCTCTTCTCACCAGTTGTAAGAGAAGATGTGGGCCAGGTAGAGACTCCCCTGTGAACTGAGTTGTTGCCCATTAATTATCTCCCGCTTATTATCTCCTATTCATCAAGGGCCTTCTCTGTGCCAGGCACAATGCTCAGCATGTCATGGGCATTGTCTCATTTGTCCCCTCGCCACAGTCCTGTGAGTAGGGACTAGCATTATTCCCATTTTACAGATTTGGCTCAGAGAGATGAAGTTACTTGCCTAAAGTCACACAGCCAGCAACCGGCAGAGGCAGGATTTGAACTCAAATCTGTCTGACTCTGAAGTCTGTGCCCTAAACCTCTAAGCTGAATTATCATGGCTAAGCCAGCCAGTGACAAGGTCTGGACCGCTTCCCTCCTGTGACTGGCTTTGTGTGGGCGTCTTGGTCTTGGGGACCCCATAATCTTTTTTCTGGCAGGCAGAGGTAGCCCCAGCAGAGCCTGGGGTCTTGTGGGAAGCCTGCCAGCTTGGAGCCTAAGCAGTTGAACCAGGAGGTGGCCCTGGACCCAGGGGGTGGTAATAGTCCAGCTCGGGGGCCATCTCCAGGCCTTGGCCTGAGGGTGAGCCTCTGCCTTCAGCATCTGGGCAACAGCCTGAGCAGCCCTGCTGAGGCTGAGGGAGGGACGTGGTGGGGCCCAGGCTGCGGGATGGGGTCATTTCCTGCCGCCTAAAATAACAGGAAGTGGGTGCTCCTGATTGGAGGCTGGGAACAATGGCTGCCGGCTGGGCCAGAGAGCTCCTTCAGATCTGCAGTCTCAGTTGGGTTCCCAGCTTTATCACCCACAGAGGTCGATGCCCTGGCCCCAGTGCCCAGCTGCCCAACCGCTGGAGCAGGCTGCCTCCCTCCTAGGGCACTCCTCAGAGCCGGCTGAGCTCGGACCAGGCCAGGAGTAATGCTGCCCCCTAAGGGTCCCTCCTGTCCCAGCCCCACAATTACGCATTCCCCAGAGTTTGTCCTTTCTACCAAACTCGTATTCTTCCAGCCCAGATCTCTCCAGGAGAGGAAACCCAGGAGGCTGCCCCCACGGGGATGCAGGCTTGGTAGACTGTCACGCTGATGGGTCCAAACCATGTCTTTGCTACTCGGCAGCTGTGGAGTTTAAGCAAGTGTCTTA